GTTCGATCGCTCCTCGAGGATCTCAAGGTAACTTCAGAGACCCTCGGATAGTTTTCGGTTAATCATCGAAGTATATTCGGAGCTCGACGCTCTTCGAAAAACCATCGGAGTTGTTTTGAATTACAAAAACAGACGTTGAAATATTCCGGCGGAATTCCGGATTCCGACTTTTCCAGACGAAACAAGATCAAATCCTCCAAAGTAATCCAACCGCAGCAGACGTATCTGAAGTAAAAGACAAAAGAGTTCTGGACCACGACGTGGCCGTCCTAAATTTAAGAAAGGCAATGATGCGATAAGTTTAAACGCAAAGCTCAAAAATCTTGTTACAAATGCGGAGCTCAGCCGAGCCACTCTCCTAGTCGTTGCCTAGCTCGAGATGTCACTTACAACGCATGTAAGAAGAGAGACCGTTACGCAGTAAAGCTTTCAACGAGTTCAAAGTGTTGACGACGGCTCAAGTGAAGATGACTCTTCTGTAATAATTATCGGCGAAACCGTTTGCATGGTCAAAAATAACTAAAAATAGAAAACTGACTTGTTCGTTGGAAATAGACTAGACTATTGTAATAGCATTCTATATGGGATACCAAAGTATCAAAGGGACAAACTACAGAGGATCCAGAATATCGCTGCTCGTATGATAACCGGAACACGAAACACTGACCATATCACACCTATTTCAAAGAATCTACATTGGCTGCCAATCGAAGCAAGAGTTAATTCTATGATATTACTTATAACTTATAAGATCTTAAATGAGCAATCTACTAGTTATTTAGAACCTATTATACAAGAATACCACCCATCAAGAACACTGAGATCATCAACTCGCTTACAGTTATGCATCCCACCCATTAAATCCAATCCCTATGGTGGACGCGCTTTTTCAGTATCTGCACCGAAACTATGAAACTTAATTCCCGAATAATTATATTTAAAAGAGCGGAAACAGTAGAAACATTCAAAACTAGGCTTAAGACATTTTTTTTTAAAAACATTACTGTTAATTAATTACTTATTCTTATGTCTTAATAATCTGTTGTTAGGCGCATTGAGATTAGAAATGCGCCCTATAAGTATCTTTTTATTATTATTATTATTATTATTATTATTATTATTATTATTATTATTATTTAAATACCAATGTTAACGAGTTCAAGATCGACACAGGAGTAAATATCACAGCCATCCCTCAGGATATCTTTCGCCGATAGAAATTAGGACGACTACAGATCACCTCGAAAATGCTATTCCGGGCCAATTAAAAAGGTCTACGCGTTATTGGAGAAATTCGAGAGAATTTGAAGCTTGGAGAGACTTGCGTGACCGAAGATATTTATGTCGTCAAAGTTCTTAAATATCCTCTCCTTGGCCGTCCAGCCACTGAGAAACTGAATTTAGACGCCAGAATCAACGACATCCAGAGGCAATGTTCCGAAGAACAGATTATGAAGAAATATCCTCAACATTTTCATGGACAGGGAGAGCTCGAAGGAGAATACGAAATTCAGTTAACGCCAAATACACCACCATTTCCTATTACTTCCCCTAGACGAATTCCTCTTCCGATGAAGACAGCAGCTATTGAGAAAATGGAAAGTCCTCGCAAGTTTCCGAGCTAAGACGATTTCTTGGTATGATTAACCACCAACAGATGTTCATCGAAAACATGTCCGAAAAGACCCGTTCCCTGCCTGACTTGTTGTCAAGTTAGAACGAATGGCTCTGGGGCCCAGCAGAAGAGAAAGCCTTCACATGTTTAAAGAAGGACAGGACTCAAGATTTAGCCGTTAGTGCCGTTATTTGGATCAAAATTTCTTCATGACATGCTTCCCCGCATTCAACGATTTCGCATGAGACTGATGCGATACTCCTACCTCAATGACGAGTTAAACCTATCTGCCCACTAGGGAGCGCCGTCTACAGGACATACAGCTTCACCGGAATGAAGATGAAATATGCACGAACCTCAAGGAATTCTACAGGGAAGGATGGCCAGACAAACACCGCCTCAAGTACTACCGCACTGACAGTATAGAGAGATAACTGTCCAGCAAAGCATCCTCCTGAAAGCAGACAGAGTTATAATTCCTTTATCCATGAGACTAGACGTTCTGGACAAGATACGCGCTGGTCATCAAGGCATTCAAAAATGCCATGAGAGAGAGCAAAAAGTGGACTTTGGTTGCCAGGC